TCCCAAATAATGTGACTTCAACAGAAGACTTTATTAGATCTTAAAACAAGCTAAAATCAATGAATAGAATTGGTAGAGAAGACCAATGCCAGATATCTCACTCCAAATGTACACAGGGGAAAAGACTGGTCAAGGACATCAAAAGAGGGTTTACAAGACAGGAAAAGGATTTACACAAATCAACCAAGAGTACTCAGATCATGGACTTGTGGCCTTCAGAACTCTGAGAAAACGAATTTCTACTGTTTATTCTACCCAACTGGTGTACTTTGTCATGACAAAAAGAAAAGATTAATATAGCAGTTAAAACCAAGAACATAAATCACTCCAATGTGTCTGTCTGACTGTCTGTCTGTGGTTCTTCGGATAGAAGCCAGGATCTTGTACACTCCAAGCAAGCACTCTATGACTAAACTATATCCCGAGCCTTTAAATATCTTTTTAAAACTTGATTATTTTAAAACTGAGTCTTGATATGTAGCCCAAGCTGGCCTTGAACTTGTGATCTTCCTACCTCTGCCTCCTGAGTACTAGGATTAAAAGAGGGGGCCACTAGGCCAGGACAACAGTGCTCTTATTATCTGACAGATTTTACACTAAATCAGATGCACCCCCAACATTTTAAATTTTATTTTGATCTTGACAAGTTGCAAGGGTTGGCTTCAAAAGCACCATGTAGATGAGGTAGGCTTTGAACTGTAATCCTTCTGTTTCTGCCTCCTGAGTAGCTGAAATTATAGGACTGTGCCACCACATTGGATTTTCCATTTGCTGTTTTTGGTGTTTTATCCTGAATTCTTCAGGATCAAACAATACAAATAAATTGCAAAGATCCTCGCAAACCACTTCACAATGACTCCTTAAAGATCAATTTTATACCCTAAACTATTACAATACTATGATTAAATTGGAATTTTGGAAGTAGGTAAAATGAATATACAATATGTTTATATCAAGTAAGACTTAGTAAATCAGAAAGTTTCCATTTCTCCAGTCTTTGAAATAAATTAGAATTCAAAGAGAAAGCATTAATCAAATAAAAAAAAATTTTTTGGGGGGTCTCTTTTGAGATAGCATCTGCCTTTAGCCCCAGCTGTCCTGGAACTCACTATGTAGACCAGGCTGGACTTGAACTCACAGAGATCCACCTAGCTCTGCATCCTGAGTGCTGGGATTAAAAGGCATGCGCCACAATGCCTGGCTGCATTAATCAATGTTTTTTTTTTTTCATTGTGAATATTTTTTATTAAAAACATTAGAAAAATTCAACAAGGAGAATTTAAATGACAAACATTTTAACAAATTGCAGATATATAGCAATAGTTTTGAAGCACTAGTCCAAAAGTAATCAATTATCATGCTTTTTTCCCTTTTTTATGTTTTAGAAGAGTCCAAGCTCTTGACCAACCAGAGCAACCAAAGCATGAGCCACTAGTAGTTAAGATTATAATTAAGAAAATGAAGTATCTATAATAGACTAGTGATGGGTTTATAGAATGAAACTTCTATATTCCATAAAATGTTCTTCGTCCTTTCATCTAAAGTTTAAATTTACCTGTTGTCTTCATATATTACTGTTAATTGTTTCTTGGATTAGGGAGCTGAGCTCAGGGCCTCCACCAAAGAATCTCATATTTGGGCTGGAAAGCAAATTTAGACCACTTCCGTCTTGTTTCATGTCTCCATGTTCCAAGACCTATGGTATGATACCCTTTGAGTGCTAGAAAGTTCTTTCTGGGAGTCCCTTTGGCAACCCTGGCCAACAACTCAAAAGAAGGTATCGCCTGTCTGGCATTGTTGCTTGTTATGTAACCTTTAGCTATGCATACGGACTCTTAAGAAATTATATTGACCCTTTAATCTTTGGATATAGTTTCCTTTGGGGTGTTTAAGGCCATACAGTTAGCCCAGATAAACCAATTTATTTTTACTCTTAAGGTTGTTTGAGGATCTGATCCTCAGAGGTCACATGGGCTTGGGAGAAGCCCCTAGCTCCCTTCTTTTACCAGTTCCATCTATGTGAAGATAAGTCAAAGGTCCTGCTTGACCACGGTTGGCTTCACTTGGAAGCATGGAGGAAATGATTCCTCTGTGTTGAACCTCCTCTTTCTGGACTGGACACGGGTTCAAATCCATCTGGTGGGGTCTCTTCAGCCTCTGTGATCAAGAGGACAGGTAACCGAACACAATTACAGGACATTATGAGAGATACTCATAGTCCCTTGGAACTAGTCGACCTACGAGGGCAAGGAGCAAAAATTGTCCTTTATGTTCCTCTGACCAAATTATTATAGGCCTCAAAGTATGTCTGTTAAACACCCAAGAAGGCTAGTTCCACCAGTCTGGTACTTTTCATTACTGTGTCATATAGATAAATCTTGGGCAAAGACCAATTGTTCTCAGATAAACCTTACCTAGACATATATTTCTTGATCTAGTATGTATAAATTTGTCAGTAGGTTGAAGGAGCAATATGGTTCCCTCTGGTTTTCAAAACTAGCTAGGCATTGAGGATCTCTCGCATTGTCTGACCCCTCCATCATGGTTTTCCCACTTAAGGTGCCTCCACTTCCTCCCTTTCTCCCTAATACCCTTCTCCTATGGTCCTACCTCTCTTGAGCTCCTTCTTTACCTTTATCCCCTAGGTTCCTTGTATATCCTTCCCTCCCCTCTCCCTTAAACTAACCCTATTTTTATCCATATCTCCCTTATTAATGCCTGTTACCTACTATTCTTCTCTTTCAGGTTCTTTCTTTTCCTTTACCTCCCTAGTTCCTTTCCTGTAGTTATATCTGGATACATACACATAGTTACATACTCATTTATGAGGATTTATCTGGTTCTAGGATCCACATATGAGGGAGAATATATGTCGATTTTTTTTTGTGATTCTTCACTGCTGACTAAAACTCCATTGTATAAATGAACCACCCTTTCTTTAACCACTGGTCAATTGAGGGACACTTGGGTTGTTTCCATTTCTTAGCTATTGTGAAAAGAGCAGCAACAAACATGGATGTGTCTCTGAAATAGGATGAGTTCTTTGGGTATATGCCAAGGAGTAGTATAACTGGGTCAAATGGTAGGTTCATTTATAGTTTTTTAAGAGCTCTCCACACTGCTTTCCGTAGGGATTGAACAAGTTTGCAGCCCCACTAGTAGTAGATGAGTGTTCCCCTTTCCCTACATCCTCTCCAACATTTGGTATCATTTGTTCTCTTGATCTTAAGCAGTCTGACTGGGGAAAGATAAAATCTTAAAGTGGTTTTCATTTGCATTTCCCTAACTATTAATGATGTTGAACATATTTTAAGATGTTTCATAGCCATCTTTACTTCTTCTTTTGAGAACTTTCTGTTTAGCTCCATAGCCCATCTTTTAATTGGGTTGCTTCTTGTCTTTATTCTGTTTTTTGAATTCGTTATATATTCTGGTTATTAAACCTCTGACGATATGTCGCTGGTGTAGATTTTCTCCCATTCTGTGGGTTTTCTCTTCACTTCCCTGGTTGCCTCCTTTGATATACAGAAGCTTTTTAGTTTAATGAGGTCTCATTTGTTAATTCTTGCCCTTGTTTCCTGAGCAATTGATGTTTTTCCCTTGTTTCCTGAACAACTGAGGTTTAGAAAATCCTTTCCTACACGTATATCTTGTAGGTTTTTCCCAATGTTTTCTTCTAACAGTTTCAGAGTTTCAGGCTTTACATTGAGGTCTGGAGCCATTTGAAATTGACTTTTGTGCAGGGTGAAAGATAGGGGTTTAGTTTCATTCTTCTACAGGTGGAGATCCAGTTTTGCCAGCACCATTTGTTGAACATGCTGTCTTTCATCCAGTGAATATTCCTGGACCCTTTGTCAAATATTAGGTAGCTGAAATTGCATTAACTCATATTTGAGTCTTCAATTTTGTTCCATTGATCTATGGGTCTATTTTTGTGGCAGTACCATGTTGTTTTTATGACTACGGCTCTGTAATACAGCTTAAAATCTCGTATAGCAATCCCCCCGGCATTGCTCTTAGTGCTCAGGGTTGTTTTGGCTATCCAAGATCTTTTGTGCTTCCAATATGAATCTTAGGATGGTTTTTTCCAATTCTGTGAAAAATGTCATGGGGATTTTGATTGGCATTGCACTGAATCTATAAATGACTTTTTAAAATTTTGATTGTAGAGCTCTTTAATGTCTTTGGTCAGGTTTGTTCCAAGATATTTTATTTTATTTTTTGCAGCTATTGTGAAGGGGAGTGTTTCCATGTGCTCTTTCTCTGCTTGCTTGTTATTGGTATATAGAAAGGATACAGACTTCTGTAGGTTAATTTTGTAACCGGCCACTTTACTAAACATGTTAAATTCTAGGCGTTTTCAGGTCTGCCAGGTTTGTGTTTCATTTCTTGTTGCTTTTCAAGTGAGTTGCAATGTTAAGTCATTTATTTGTGTTCTTTCCAATTTTTTGATGTAGGCACTTACAGCTATAAAGTTCCCTCTAAGGACTGCTTTCAGTGTGTCCCAGAGGTTTTGTTCTGTTAGCCTGGTCTAGATAGTGAGTTCCAGAACAGCTGGGATTACAGGGAGACCCTATCTCAAAAAGATCAAAAAATTAAAAAATTAAAAACAAAAAAAAACAGCAGAGGCAGTAAGGAAGGGAAGGAGGGATGAATTTGACATAGAAGATGACATTGTAAGTGAAATAAAATTACAAACACAAACAAGGCATCTTTTTCTAATCATAACATAAAAATGAGGATTTCTGTAAGAAAATAACAATTTCTATAAATCATTAACATGTAAAATAACTACAAAATAATAGTGAATGAATATAAGTAGTTACAAAAAGCAAAAAAATTTTTCCCAAGTGTAGCAATGAGAGACAATTAAAAACAAATAATTTTTATTAGATGAGCTTAATGTCTCCACTCAAAAGGAACAAAACTATTAAGCAAAATAAAATATAAACTGGAATAATTATGTAAAATAATCAAAAGTTTAAAAGTAATGAACCAACCTGAGCCACTTTAATTGAATTCTGAGTTGAACCACCAGCATGATATTCAACTTTGAATTTTTTTACAAGTTCATCAAACCTATAAGGAAATCACAGCAGAAGAAAGTCACAGTTAGTGTATGTCAACTGGTATATGTGCAAATTCTTATCACCAAAAAATAATTAGTGGAATTTCTAAATCATACAATTACATTGATGAAATGAATTAAATATACGCCTTTAATTTCAGCACTGGGGAGGCAGAGGTAGGTGGATCCTTGTGAGTTCAAGGCCAGCCTGGTCTACATAGTGAGTTCAGGTCAGCTGGGACTACAGGGAGACCCTGTCTCAAAAAGACCAAAAAAAAACAAAATGCTATAAGCAAAATGGAAAAAACACTCTCATCTGTTAATTCTTCCCCCATTCATATCCTATGCTATCTACATATTACATGATGATTAAAAGTATCCGATTGGTGTAACTAACAAATAAATAAATAAATAAATAAATAAATTTATTCTATGTATATGTAACTTTAAGAATTTAAAGCACAAGCTGGGCATGGTGGTGCACGCCTGTAGTCCCAGCACTTGGGAGGCAGAGGCAGGCCAATCTCTGTGAGTTCAATGCCGGCCTGGTCTACATAATGAGTTCTAGGACAGCTGGGGCTACAGGAGGCCCTGTCCCAAAAAGACCAAAAAAAAATTTGGGTCAAGCGTGTCATGTATGAATTTAAAGCATAGGAATTAAGTTCATAAGTCTGTCAAATGAAGACCACATACAGCAAATTGGTTACTCCAAACCACAATCCTCCAGGATAGCATGGTGAACACCTGTAATCCTGGCATCTGGGAGGTGGAGGGAGAAGTTCAAGGAGAAGTTCTAGGCTATGTAGCAAGCTCCATGCCATCCTGAACTACATGAAACCCTGTCTCAAAATGTAAAAGAACAAACACCCAACAGAATCCTCATTTCATTTTAAATACAAAGTCAGTGCGCTTTCCCCTCATTCCACACAAGAGTTTTTGATGTAACCCTTACAATCAGTATGAGAGTTATAAAAATTACACCTTTACACTTCAAGATGGATGAAGCATATGTTCACTTCCTCTTCCACATCTTATTGTATTTCAAAAACTATTGTTTTATATACGTTGAAAAATTAAGTAGAACAGAATTTCAGAGCACAGAAAGGTGCCACAAAAATAGCATGTTCTACTGTAACAGAAAGCAAATGCAATAAAACTGACAAGGTAGTAATATGAGACAGAGTAAAATATGGGTCACTGTTTTAAATACCAAATTTGGAAAATGATTTCTACCTTAGCCTCAGGAGTATCTGTCATCCTAAACCCATTAGGATGACAACTGTAAAGATTTCTAGACTACCTAGGAATAAATACTCTGCTTTTACTCTGCTCACTCTACCTCTTTCCTTTTCTCTATCCTTTCTTTCCTTCCCTTCCTTTCTCTTTCCATTTTTGTAACAATTTTAAGATATAATAATTGGCTGGGAATATAGCTCAGTGACAGAGAGCTCACCTAGCATATTTGAGGTACTAATTTCAATAACCAGCACTGCAAAAACTTTGTGTGTGTGTGTGTGTGTATGTGCATGTGTGTGCACAAGTGCGTGTGTGTGTAGCCATATACCATACAACATACCACCCAATTGCATTAATTATATTTAGATTTAGAACCATTACCATAATCATCTTTAGAACAATTTTTAAAAATCCACAGTCATTAGAACCAAATCTCTCCACCACCTCAGACTCCACCTTAAAGAAATTACTAATGTATCTTTATCTCTTTTTTTAACCCATTCTGAACACTTTGTATAAATGTAGTTTGGGGTGACTAGCTTCTTTTACTCAATGTATTTTCAAGGCTAATACTTGCAGCTGTATTTATTAGGACATTATTTCTTTTTGTCATCAAATAGTATTCTATTATATGAAAAAAACACATTTATTTTATCCATTTATGTGTCAATAGATACTTGAATTGCTTCCATTTTCTACTAAGAATTCATGGGTGCATGCTTTTTGTTCCTCTTCTATCTGTAGAGATATAGCTGTCAACTCAAATGTTATCCTCAGGTTTTAGTGTTTGAAAAAATATTTTATTTGGGATGGAGATCAGTGAATAAGAGCACTGGCTGCTCTTGCAGAGGAACCTGGTTCGATTCCTAGGTACCACATGGTGGCTAACAACCACCCATAAATCCAATTCCAGGGGAATCCAACACCCTCTTTTGGGAGCCACGGGCACTGCATGACATGGGTGCACTTATATGCAGACAATACACTTGTACACATAAAATAAAATAAAAATAATTTAGAAATGTAAAAAAAATTATTCATTTTATGTGTATGCGTATTTTGCTTGAATTCATATGAGTGTGCCTATTTCATGGAATGCATACAGAGGCCATAAGAAGGCATTGGATCCCCTGGAACCAGCAGATGTTAGCCGCCATGTGAGTGCTGGGATTCCATGTGAGTGCTGGGATTCATACCTGGGTTCTCTGCAAGAGCAGCCAGTGCACTTAAATGCTAAGCTATCTCTCCAGTCCTTCATGTTTTATTTTTTGAAGAATTCTTATTAACTACCCACTTAATTTGTAGCCCACAAGAAAATCTAATCATCTAATTATATGAAATGAGCAGTAAGTAATAACAATTTCTATAACTTGATCACTGGTGACATTTTTAAGAAAACAATGCTAGTTGGATGGTTAAGCAGAGCAGTAAAAATGGGTATTGGTAAAAATTAAGATAAAAATTTGACAGTTAAGGAAACTACCAAAAATGTAGATCACAAACAGAAGAGATTTTTAAGAATGAAAGAAAAAGTAAAAGACACAGATACCTGCTCAGGTGGCCCAACATTCATTAACTAGAAATTTCATAAAAGAAGACAAGCAATAGTAAAGAAAAAATGTAGCTTTAAAAACCCATTTCCAGCTGGGCGTGGTGGCGCATACCTTTAATCCCAGCACTTGGGAGGCAGACAGGGAAATCTTTGTGAGTTCAAGCCCAGCCTGGTCTAGTGAGTTCCAGGACAGCTGGAACTACAAGAAAACCCTGTCTCGAAAAGACAAAAAAAAAAAAAAAAAAAAAAAAAAAAAAAAAAACAAGAAGAAAAACTTCAGATTTCTCCAAACCCTAAACATTTTTAAAAATAGAGAAATGGATATATACTTGGATTGAAAAAAAATTCTAAAAGCTTCTAAAGGAAAAAATAATAGAGTATCTAAAAAGGAGTAAGAATTAGACTAGCACTAAACCTCATACAGAATAAAAGATGTTAAAAGACAATGCAAAGTGTATTTAATGGTATGGGGAGGAGAAGAGAAGATTCTGAAACAAGAATTAAATATCCACACAAGTAATTAATTATAAGCCTCCAGTTAACAGAAGTACATACAGGAGCAAAGCGAATTTTGTTATGTTAAAAAAAAATGAAGTTTTCTACATAAAAGCAAAACCGAAGGACAAGTAACTATTAAAAAAAAGAAGAAAATTTTAATATGGATAACATCTATTTATCACAAAAGAAAAAAAAATTAAGGCCTAGACAAATGAAAAAGGAACAAAAGAAAAAAAAGATAAATTTTGAAAAGTAAAAACAAGTAATCAATCACAAAGAGATTTCTGCACAAAACAATCCATTGACTGTATGAATTGTAATCCACATTAGTAAAGATGTGAAAATGCTGACATTGTACAGTATTAGTGAAAGAACACATGTAGAACACTTTGGCAATGTGCACTAAGAGTCATAAAATAGTTATTATCTCATTAAAATTCTATTTCAGGGACACTATCCCAGGGAAAAATCCAATACACGAAAAACCCAAGTAATTAAGTAAATAATAATTATCACCAGAAAAAATATACTAAAGCTTGTAATACTGTAATTATTTACACATTGCATCATTACAGGAGACAATCATGAATTATAGAGACAGAATATATTAAGCAAATGTAAAAAATGGTATTAAAAGTAGGAAATAAGGGGCTGGAGAGATGGCTCAGAAGTTAAGAGCACTGACTGCTCTTGCAGAGGACCCAGGTTTGATTCCCAGCATCCACATGGTGGCTACGAACCATCCTAAACTCCAGTTCTAGGGGAATCCGAAGCCCTCTTCTGACCTCCGCGGCATTGCCCGACACAGGTGCACTCACATACATGCAAGCAATACACTCATACACATAAAATAAAAATAATAAAATTTTTTAAGTAGGAAATAATGGGGCATTGTGGCGCATACCTTTAATCCCAGCACTCAGGTGGCAAAGGCAGGCAAAACTCTGAATTTGAGGCCAGCTCAGAGCTATACAGCAAGACCCTGTCTCAGCAGTCTCAAACACACACACACACACACACACACACACACACACACACACACACACAGAATAAATTAGCATAAAGTTAAAAGAACACAAAATGCAAAACATGAACATTTTCTGTTTTTGAAATCTAACATTTAAAATGGGATTTTTTTGATTACTGTTCAATGTAATTATCAGCATAATTCCTTCAATATGATCAGAATTCCTTATTTATAATTAATAGAAAACAAGAAGGAAGGAAAATACTAACCCTCATAGGGCATCTTTATATAAACCTTTTATTATATTTTCTAAATTTTTATCGTGTTTACATTAAATACTTTTATTAAAGAACACAGTAATTGGGGCTGGAGAGACGGCTCAGCAGTTAAGAGCACTTGGCTGCTCTTACAGAGTACCCAGGTTCAGTTCCCAGCACTCATATGGCAGTTACAGATGTCAGTAACTCTAGTCCGAGGGGATCCAATTGGCATCCTCTTCTGGTATCAGGTGTGCATATGGTGCACTTTCATGCATGCAGGCAAAATACTTGTACACATAAAAAAAATTTTTTTTTAAATCAAAAAAAAATTTAAACTCTTACTTTAAAAGAAAACCAGCACATTAATTCCTGTCACTGGAATTTAATTCAGAATTTCTTAAGGATTTAACCTCATGGGGCGGGGGGGAACGACTCATATTTTTCTAAAATAGCTTTAATTTGATAGTATATGGGAGAATTTAAATTCTAAGTAATACT